TATGCAGTGTGTTATTTGTTTAATCTGTACTTCTGATTTGATTTGAAACTGTCTCATTGCTATCTGTTTATCAATAAGATTTAAAGAAAAATAAATCTAGGTAAAAATATTATACGCAGTATTACAGAGGTAGGACCTCAAGGGAATCAGTGCATTACAATTCTGGAGGAAGCACATCCACTGAGGCCAGACAAAAGAGGAAAGGAATCAAACCAGTATCTCCCCTGGAGAGAAGTGGGAGTGATGGATATTCTAAATAGGTATCCATATCATCTTGGAAGCCAGAAGGAGGCACTGACCCAACTCCTCCAAGAAAAGCCATTGTTATATTCTATGGCTGCTTGTGGAGTAACTTGTTTCCCCCGTTTGGTCCCCATTTAATCAATATGACCTGAGTAATTATAGCAGTGATCTTATTAGCTGACCACAGTTTTATCTCACCTTATGGCCACTTGTGATTTCCTTTTGGATCAATGTTACCTAAGTGATTACACTTGTAACTTTATTAGTTGATTAGAGCTTTCCCCAATGGGGACGCTCCTCACCTCTTAGTTTTGCTGTACAAAATTCCCTTAAAAAGTGGGATCTTAAAAAAAAAAAAAAAGAAAGAGGAGGAGAAGGAGGAGAAGGAGAAGAAGAAAGGAAGGTAGGAAGGAAGGAAGGAAGGAAGGAAGGAAGGAAGGAAAGAAAGAAAGAAAGAAAGAAAGAAAGAAAGAAAGAAAGAAAGAAAAGAGGGCCAGGGAGATGGCTCAGTGAAATAAGCGCTTCCCTGGCAAATTCAAGGGCCTGAGTTCAACTCCCGGTTCCACCAAAGAAAGAAAGAAAGAAAAAGTTGGGATCCTCAGTAATGTGCCTGGGCACCTCTTCTTTCTCTCTTAGATGTAAGCTTTTTTCCACCCCAAATAAATAGATTCTGCTGTCAAACAAAGAAAAAAGGCACATTGTGCACAATGAAATCAGTCGGCTGCGAATCCATGCTCCCTGCGTTGCCATGTTGGCTGCACAGGAGCCAGGGGCTACTTGGGGACCCTCATCTGCTTGGAAATCACAACAGCTTGGAAACCTAGGCTCCTGCCCTACGCCACAAAAGGGAACTTTGCAAAACACTCTGCTCTCTAGCACTGGCTCCCAGAGCGCAGCTGCCCATGCCCATGGCCTCTCTCGTGTGCTCTGCTGGCCCAGCCCTATCTGTTCTTTGCTGCTGAGGTGCCTCTCTGCTTCCCAAGCACCGCCCCTACCAGCAGGCGCCGGGCCAACAGGCTTGAGGTCCCTCCTATCAGTCTTCCCACCTGGGTAATGGTGCTCCGGGCACTTGCAGCTCAGGCCAGACTGTGGCCATCGCTTGGCGAGCACCTGGAGTACACAAAGGCAGCATGGTGCTTGTGGGCACAAGGCCCCTTTGTTGACCTCTTGAACTGATTGTTAGGTACTCTTTTCTTTCTCTCATGCATACCATTTTTGTCTATGATTCTGGTACTGTGTGCGCACACGCACACACACACGCACACACACAGCAGGGAGAGTGGTAAAGACAAATAGTTTATGAGAAGGAAAAAAAAATCTCTGTTACTTACAGAATCTTTGCTCCTTTTCAGTCTTCTTTTATACACTATTACGTTCCTTTGGCGAGCATATATGCATTTCCTTGGCTAAAAATGATGAGACAGAGATAGTGTGAAAATCGTGACTGGCCTGCTGACTCATTCCCGAATTCCAACCCCCCAACTGGCGATTGAACTCAGGCCCTTGCAATTGCCAGGGAAGCGCTTATTCCACGGAGCCATCTCCCGGGCCCTCTTTTGGTATCTTTAGAAAACTCCAAAACTTTACATGCAGGAGTTCCTGGGTTACAATCTGACTGAGCTCTGTGCTGCAGCCGGCTAGAGTTCACTTCTCTAATCTTTTGGCTCGAAGCGAGGATGGTGCGGCAGGAGCCAATCAGCGGTGGAGGCGGCTGCGCGAACTGTCCAATCAGGAGGCCGACGTGAGCGGGTCCGGTCGCGTCACTGCGCTGACGTCCAGGTCCTGAGCCCGCCGCGGGGACTCCCGCGCCTTGCTTTGCCACTGTCTGTGACTTCTGCTGCTGCTGGCTGCACGCTGCATGGGAAGGGCTCCGTGAGACCTCGGAGCCACGCAATGGTGACATTGTGGGAGGAAGTTAGGGATGGGCTGGTCTCGGGAGGAGGGCTGAAGGAAGTGGCGGGAGCCGGCTACGAGGAACCGCAGCTTCCCTGCTTGGCTCCAGACCCTGAGCATCTGCCGGCCTTTGGTACTTTGGTCCCTGCTTCCCTGTGCTGGGTCAGGGCTACTTCCAGGTTCCCTCTGTCCTGTCCTTAGTGTGACACCCCTCACCCACAGTCCTGTCTTGGGTCTCCCTAGGACCAGCCTCCTGTACACCCAGCTGGGGAGAGCAGGGTGGGAGGTGCTGGCGACACCTTGATTGCGGTGTGGGTTGGAGCTGGGTGCAGCTGTGGTATGCGAGGTCGCTGGTCTCATGCCTTTTAGTAGGAGACCTAGAGGTTCTGATATTGTAAGTGCTTGTGAGGTAGAGCCTCGTACACATGACCATCTCTTCAGATCTCTGCATAGTATGTGGTGCTGCGGGCTATGCAAATCCAAAGAAAGGTTTAACATTGAGGATGCTGTGACTCGGGCGCAGTGCTTGCCAACCGTGCAGTGCAATCTTGCATTTGGTACTCTGCAACCTGCAAAGTTATCACCTTAGTCCTGAGTTATCACCTCAGTGCAGAGCTGGGCTCTCACCTTATTCCATTGAGGAATAAGGTCATGAATCAAAGAGAACTTTGGAGAGAAATTTTATTGGAAATATAAATAGCACCCTGATTCTTTTGAAGTATAATGAATGTCCAGGTGGCCATTGAGATTTTCTACAGCAAATTTCAGATAATCAGCACAGTAATTGCTTAGTTGTTTAGTGGCCACCTATGCACATAACTCTGTATTTAGAATTGTCATTTGGAGCTCAGGTTTTAAACTCTTTCTCTTACCATGCAAGTTTTACAGAAAACAGGGATTTTAGAGAAAAATTAGTTATTTTGCACTTTAAGTTCTTGGGAATTTAGGAGCTTAGTAGGAAGTGGCTGCAAGGGGCAGCATTCCATGTCTGAGGAAATTCATTCTGGGGCCTCTGCCTGCACTTCACTGTTCTTACTTTCTTTCTTTTTTTGAGCCTCTGTTCACTTTATTCAAATAATGCCTTTGTCCCTGTTAAATTGAGTAGAATTGCAGAGATATCAAAGACAGTCTCATTTATTAAGATTTTTAAATAGATCCTTTGAGGGGCTGGGGATATAGCTCAGCAGCGTAAGTGCCAGCCTGGCAAGCACAAAGGCCTGAGTTCAATCCCCGGTACCGCCAAAAAAAAAAAAAGAAAATAGATCCTTTGAATTCTTTTTTTTTTTTCCTGTGGAACTGGGGATTGAACGCAGACCCTTGTGCTTGCCTGGGAATGAATTCTTAATGCATACCAATGTGACGTATTCCCCAGCTCTATCTCAGACCATTTTTCCCTAGGTAGGTGAAATGGTAACTAAATGGAATGTTTTTTTTTTTACAGTAGACTATTTAAATGAAGCCTTCCCAGGGAGCTTAGAATGCTGAGGAAGATGGAGGGGATGTTAATATATCATCAAGAGAGAGGAAAGGGTTCTTGCTGAAGAAGACTTTCTGAAAGAGTTGCCTGATAAATCCCAACTGAGAAACACATCAAACTGGGGTATCACATGGATGTCTATGTGATATTGGTGATAGTGGAAGGAGAAAGAAGGTTCTCATTTCTGAAATATGTGCTATAATTTTTGGAATGTTTCTTTACATAGGTTTAAATTTGAATTTCTTTATTTCTTTATCTATTTTAGGAAGGGCCTACAGGGTGATCACTACTAGTAGGTTCTCACTACTAGATCAGACTCAGAGATCCACCTGTTTGCAGGCTCCCGAGAGCTGGTAGATTACAGGGAGTGCCCTAGGACGCCCAGTCTTAATTGTCCTAGCTCGCCCCGGGGGCGGGGCCACCGAGGAAGGCCCCTGTGCCTGATTGCAGGTGCTTTGATCCACTGAGCTATGTGACCCGCCCTTTTCAATTAGGGATGAGCAAAGGGAAGAAAAATGGAAATGGGAGAGCAGGGCTTTTTGAAGAAGGCAGATCAGCAGCTACGCCTTGCACCCTTCCACTGCGGTCGGACTGTTCCGAGTATGACAACAGTTGCAATGTTTTGTTCTGCCTTGGCCTGAGAGTGGGTTAGAAGTCACGGGACTGGGGGCCGAGGAGTTGGCTCAGTGGAATAAGCCCTTCCCTGGCAAGCTCAAGGGCCTGAGTTCAATCCCTGGTTCTGCAAAAAAAAAAAAAAAAAAAAAAAAGAATTCACGGGACTAAAGAAAAGAGGGGAACGTAGCAACAGGCACTATACATTTGTCTGTGTCTTCTGTTACTACTCATCAGTTCACCTAACTCTTTGTGAGGCAAAATTAGATATTAGCAAAGTAATCTTTAAAAATGTGGTGGGTTTAAAAATGTGGTGGGCATCATCATCAAAGAAGAATGGGAAGCGTTTTCTCTTGATTAAAAAAAAGATTTCAAGGTGCATTTGATGTTTTTTATTGTACTGGGACTAAACTCAGGAAGCTGGCCCCAAGGCACACCTAACCTCCCCTCACCTCATATTTACCAAAAATTTTGGGCCGGCCAGATAGCTCAGGGGACTAAAGCATCTCCTCAGGCAGAGTGCAGAGGCAAGAGTTTGCTCCCAGCGTGCTGTGCTGGCCCTGCCCTAGGGGTGCCCTGAGAAGGCATTAAGCTTGGGCGTGGTTTTGCCTGCCTGTAAACCCAGCGCTTGGGGGCCTGAAAGCAAGAGGATCACTATGAGTCTGATCTACGTAGTGAGACCCTGTAGACCCTGTACTAAATACATTAGTTTAAAAAAAAAATAAAAAAACAACTCAGTCTTACTAAGTAGCCCAGGCTGGGGAGAACTTTTGATATTGCTTCCAGGTCCTTGGCTGTTGGGGTGACAGATAGGTGACATTTTGCAAGTTCAAGATTGGGGTCCTCTAATCACCACCATTTACCAGGGTTTCAGTGACTTGAGTAAACATCGGTGTACTCCTTTAATCCCAGCCATATTGGGAGATTGAGACAGGAGTATTGAAGCTTCATGCCCAGCCTGGGAATTGACCAAGATCCTGTCTCAATATGAAATAAAGATATTGGGATACAACTCCAGTCTAACTCATCTAAAATGAAAGAGTCCCTGAGCTAAATCTTTAGCAAAAAGGAAAAATAGAGTAAGGCAAGTGTGTTGAGCATATTTAAGAGAACCAAAGCTTGACAGTGATATTTCATTCATGGATATGTTCTGTGCATTTTAGTAAGTTTTATTTTCACCTTCCTTTGGGTTGATCATGATATTTTCCCTTTCAAACTTGAGTAACATCCTTAGTCATTCCTGCAGCTCTTCAAATGCTGCATTAATCTTGTTCTCCAGAGCTACAACAAAACCAGGAGATAATTAGAAAAAGGAAAACTGTTCTCGGATATTTTTTGGTTTGTATGTGGGTTTGTTTGTTTTGCTTTGTCTTTTTTTTTTGTTGTTGTTGTTGAAACCTATCAGTTTCAGTGTCATAAAGAGGTTGGCCACTGTAGTCACACTCTAACTTACATTACTATGAACATGACACTAAGTGTGTGCCAAGCTAGAGAAAGCAGTCCATGCCTATTTCGAAGTCATGCTGCTTCTGGGAACCCTTTAGCTGCTTTAACCGTGGGTCATGATTTGCCTTTCTGTGCTGGGTTGGTTGTTCACTCGTATAATCCCATTTTCCCTTCCAACACCTGAGTGGGCTGAAGGGAGGTCTGTCCAGCACTGTTGCATCCAAGACCCTTTCTCCTCGTACTAATCTGTGTCTCTGGGGAAAAAGATGACCATGAGCTTTGGTTATGTGTTGTGTAAGTGACAAGGGAGCGTAATCCCTGAGCTCCCCTCAAGTGTCTCCTGTTCCCAAGCTCTGAGCACAGAACTTCCATGCTGGCACCTGATGGTTTCCCGGGCGGCAGCTTAAGGAGAAAGGTGCAGCTGATCTGAGGCACACAGTGTTGGTTCAAGGCAGCCCTGAGTCTGTCTCTGCACCTCCTGTGGTGTCATCGTAGAGCATCAGGTGGTGCAGCGGGTTGTGGTTTTTCCCTTAAAAAAAATAAGTTTACGATTGAAGATCTCTTTAAATTTGGTCCCTGCCTGATCATATGTAATTCCACAATGTTATAAGAGAGCATTTAATGAAACAGTTATACAATTGAGAATGCAGTGGAAGATGTGCCAAATTTTATAAAAATTTTACATAAAGAAAGGCATTAATTGTCATTTGAGGATAAGTACACACTTTTTTTTTATTGTCCTGAATAATGTGGAATTGTTACCAGGAACCTAGACTCCAGCTGTTCTCTTGTAGAATGTCAGCTATGAGTTTCTAAGTATGGAACTACTTTTATGGCATTAGTACACTAAATTCTCAGTTAATTATACCTTATTTCAGATTATAGAACTTGTAAGAAGCCAAGTATAGAGGAAGTATAGAAGCATGCTGTTGGTTAGCTTTGTAAATACAGGGTACTTAATAAATCATATAAATAACCTATCATCTGCATCTCTTAAGTCACATAAATTAATTTTTTAGTCTGTTCTGAAGCAATAAACTGAAATAATTTTATTACGTCTATAAAAATGTGTCTTTTGTTTAATCTGCCTTAAAAATCAGATATAAAAGGATCAAGGAACGTTAGGTAATAAAAAATGTGTATGATATCATTTCAAGTAGAACAGTTACATTAGTTAATAAAAAAATCAAGATATGGCCTTTTCTATAAATTAACAAGATATTAGGCTCATAAGATATTTAAAAAGTGTGAAAAAAATTGTATTAATGAGCTAATAGTCTGGGGTTGGGCACCTTGAATAATGTGTCTTAGCTACTTCTAGAAAAGTGCACTATTTCTTTAATTGCTGAACATCAGTCTTATACTAAGGTACCACATTTTATAAATGTAGTGAGTGTGCTAAATTATATTATACATTCTCTCTCTCTCCCTTTTTTTTTTTTTTTTTTTTTAGAACCGGGGATTGAAC